ATGGGAGGATGGGCTGAACAAAATGGCAGAGGGGAAAGAACACACATTTCGAGGCTTCCCAGAGGCTTCCCCATATGCGTCTTTCGTATGCTTTATGGCCACAGCAAAGGAAATGGCAGTGTGTAATTAGATAAACTGCACCCGAGCCGGAATCCAGGTCTGCCCATTTGCACAATGTAACGTTTGAAATTTCACCGTCATGAGTAATCTATTAGACAACCTGTAACTGAAATATTTATTATTTTTATTATATTTTGGGGGGTTGTCTGTAGGGGGAGTCCGTGGACCGGTCCATAGGTAGTCCGTGGACCCGGTCCGTTGTGGGGGTCCGCGGACCGGGGGTCAGTGTTTTCAGGTTACCTGTTAGGAGCAGGGTGTTCCAAAGTTGCGTCCTGTCACCCATATTGTTCTCAGTAGCCATTTACCGGATAATGCGTAAGACAATAGGCAACAAAAGACGGGGCATGTCTTTGCTGGAAGATCTTGATTTTGCTGACGACGTCACACTTGTGTCCTCTACTAGAGATCAATTACAGCGGAGAACATCAGACCTGTCGCTAGCTGCTAAACAACTGGTTTGAACATCAGCAGTAAGAAGACCAAGACAATGCAGCTTACAGATACACCATCACCAGTGGAATTGGAGAATGAGGATTTGGAAAAAGTGGAGGAATTTACCTAATGGGAAGTATTATGAGCAAAAGTAATGCCATGGTTAATGACATCACCAACCGTCTCCAGAGGGGGAAATCATCATTTGTTCAACTAAATAAGGTATGGAGGTCACCTAACATCAGTGAAAAAAACCAAGATGAAGATCCATAACAGCAATGTCTTATCAGTACTACTGTATGGTGCAGAATGTTGGAGGGTTACCCAGAGACAGCCAAAGACTGTCAGGTTTCCACACCCCATGCCTGAGAAAGATATGTAGGATATACTGGACCCAGAAGATCACAAACAAGGAACTCTATCAAGGGACAGGCCAGTGGGACATCAGAACAGTAATAAAGCAAAGAAGATGAAGGTGGCTTGGGTATGTTATCAGGAAAGCCTGAGACAGCATAACATGAACTGCATTAAGGTGGACACTGGATAGTGGAAAAAGGAAGAGAGGTTGCCCACGAGAAACTTGGAGGAGGACGATCGAGGCAGAAATGAAAACAACAGGGAAGACATGGAAAGAACTTGAGTCGCAGCCAAGAATAGGGAGCAATGGAAATCTCTGGTTTCAGCCTTATGTGTCACTTAGGCGCAAAGAGGATCATTCATTCCTCCCCCGCCCCTCCCACAGCAGGGGCAGACTACATCATGAGCGCATGCACACAGTCACGTATTCGCCTTATAGATTGGAAGAAAGTGTGTATGACTTCGGCAAAGCTGCATGTATTTTGACCCACTAGCCTTTGACATCAAGTAACTAAAGCCTGCGTCGTCAGGAAAGCATGTTTTGTAACTCAGCAATGGCAAATGGCCATGAGTTGTGGTAAGAAAACAAATCTTCCTTGTAACTTGGCAACTGTACTGGCCATGATGACCCTCAGATCTGTGGTCAGAAAATAAATTTTCCGATTGCAGCTCGGCAAATTCATTGTGGCCATAATTGGTTGTCAGATAGCAAACTTTCTGTGTTGTGTAACTCACTAAAAGGCCGTGTTTTGTAGTCAGAATGGTTACTTCAACTTTTTCATTTGTGAAACTGAACAAGATGTAAATTCAAGAAATGTAAACAAATACAAACACAGCATTTAAAAATATTTGGCGATGCGCTGTCTTGCAGAGTCGCTGGTCGAAACTTTATTGTCTCAAGAAATTTGCGTTAAAAGTGTTGGCAATCTGAAATTGAGTTCTAAGTGTTGCCAACAGTTCAAATGCCTTTCCTGGAAAATATTTTGTCCAGTGCAAGTTAATTCCCCGCAGGCTAAAATCTATCTATTGCTAGTTCAATTTACATGCAGATTGTTATCTGACATTTGATCAAACCATATTCTCCTGATCAAACTTAGTTTTCCATCAAGCCATTCAACGCCACCAAAGTAGATCAAACATGCAAAGTATGCACATGAACGCACTGCTCTAATCTTTGATTACTACTAGTATACTGTTGCGTTTTGTATTATTTCTTACAGTCATGTGGCAGGTATATTTTGCAGGACGCAGGTTGAAATTTAATTATAACTGGAAAACCGCTGGAACTTAAAAGAAACGTACAGGTGGTAGACTTACTGTGACTGTTACATAACACTGTTTACAATCGCTCCGTAAGGTGGCTTCCACCTAAGTGCCAAATCGGCTGAAGTGATGGGAGGAGAGTATATTCCTATTATTTTAAGCCTGCAATGAATTATCGTTTTTGAAGAAGCATGTGAAATATTATCTGAAATATCTGCTGAATTTGGTTTCTTCCCTGTGAGTACCAAAATAAAAGCATACTGAGCTTGTGCTAGTATATTCCGTCGGTTAAAATCTTAAGACTTATATTATTTCATTTCTTTATTTATTTGCTTCATTTGTGATGGCAATCTTNTTCATTTGTGATGGCAATCTTCTGTTGTTGAGGAAAGACCCAAGCCAAATCTTGAATCGATGGAAACATCTGTGGAGCGGCCATCCAGATGGCTTTGAAGAGATTTCACTGGTCTCATGTGATCAGCATGTTGATCGATAAGTAAAGTACTTGTAGCGGATCGATCGTGTTTTCAATATGCGAAAGACGTGAACTACTTTATGTAAGAACCTCTGACGAGTATATAGGTTATTAATTATTTTTAGTGCCAGCGGTTTTCCAGTTAGAATTAAATTTCAACCTGCAACCTGCAAAATATACCTGCTGACAGTCATGGGCTCCTGTTTCTTAACAATGCCATTGGGCTTTAACTTCATTCATCACTTCTCTAGCTCCATACATTATGTTATATCATAGCTTTTTTATACGCCTATAGCTAGATCAAAACAAGTGGCCAGCTTACATATCAAGGCTAAGTTTCATGACTATGACTCTGAAATATTGTAACAAACTTTTATGTTGCCAGCTCAATATGTAAATGACATTTGACCAACAGATTAAGAACTCAGTTCAGTGGCATCAAAATTGCCCTGTTTACAGACAATCCATTTTCCAAGTTAAGTGGCTCATAGCCACTTTGATCTGTATTTCGTTATGTGGGACAAAGACTGTAGATGATAGAAGTCATTGTTAATTTTTCTAAACCCCTCTCATTCCCCTCCCCCCCCTCCCCTTCCCAAAAAAAAAAGTCAAAATTTTGTTTTGAAATTAATTCCAATAGTAAAGGCCCCAGTCAATGTATAATACCATAGAAAGGATAAAGAAATTATACAATCATGATTAAGGAGTAACTCATTACAAACTTGTCTTTACCAGGGGTGAGAATGAACTGATAGAAGACCTGAGTGCTGATCTACTCTCTGCTGTTGCTCCCACTCCAAAGTCCATGTATCGGACAAGTGGCGGCTACCACAACATGGTTTTCTCTGGGAGATTTAACCCTGAAAACCCAGTGAAATCACGGAGAGTGTGATGTGACCTGTTCATGTACAAATGTATTGTCTGTGTACTTAGAATGTGTAGTAGAATGTTTTCACCTGACATCAAGGCAGCCATGTTGGTGTTCCCAGACAATGGAAGTTCTGTCCTTTGGGGGATGACTTCTTGTTTTTGCAAAAATGTCTTATTTGGCAACACCAGTATGACTGTCATGACTCGGTTGGAAATACAGGTTAACCTTGTTGTCAGTCACAAAATTAAAATACAATGTCAAGGCTGAAGGTTCCCAGCCATGAAATGCTGGGTGCCAAGTACTTAAGCTTATATGAAAAAAGTAAGTTTTTCTAGGTGCCCAGAGGCAAAGGTTAGTCACCTGTGGCACCCAGGCACTTCTAGAGCACAGCCCTGAATGTCATCATTTTAGTCATACATGGCAGTAGGTATGCTGAAAGATTTTCAAGGAACTCCTTATTCAACCCAAAAGTGAATCTTCTGTCAGCCTAATCTTATTTAAACATGTGGAGATGGTCTCTTTCTCTTCTCTAGTCATTCAGCTCTAACTGTAAAATATTTGACTGGTTGTTTGGGGCATTTTGTTTAAAAGTTATATGTCTTCTTGTTCAACTTGACATTGCCTCCATTTAGTAGACGTGGTTTTTGTTTCATAAGTCTTTCATGGCAACGGGTTACAGGGAGCAGGGGTGGCACAGTGGTGAGAGTGCTTGGCTCTTGCTTATGTAGTATAGATTAGAATCTAAAGTCATAAGTGGGTTGAGTTTGTTGTTAGTTCTCTTTCTTACTCTAAAGGTTTCTCTCTGGTTTTCCTCCTTCACTGAGAACGGCAGAAGAATAGCCACTCCGTGGATGTGCCCCTGCTAATTTTCATTTTATATTGTGCTTAGGTGAACTATGTTTGTTCAGGCTGTGTTAAGTCATCCTTGGTATGGTTGATTGTGTAGAGTAAGGTAAAGTCTGCTTGTGAGCCAAGTAGCCCACCAGGCAGGTGCTTATCTCCAAATCTCCAATTTCTATAGCCTGAAGTGACCAGTAGTATTTTTATTCCCCCTGGATAGGATACTAGTCCATCACAGGGTTACCCAAGCGTTAAATTTGTCATAACCGATGACATTTACACACTTGGTGGAGAGAAGAAGCACTGTGAGAGTTAAGAGTCACTGACTGAAAATATTGAGAATGGCTGGCCAGGTTAGAAAAATCGAAAATCCTGAAACTTTGCCTAAAGAACGCTTTTAGGGAGCCACTTTTGA